TGTAAAAATATGTAAAAATAAATATACTTTTTATTTAAAATCATAAAATTTATAAAAATAAAAAATAAGACTAAATGAGTTTGCTTTTGAATGAGTGATGAGTTATCTCGTGTGAAGTTTCTTTGGACCTTGGGGTCACAAACTTAGGCCTCCGTTCGGTATCTGTATCTTAATCATGGGCAAATCCAGAATCAAAGCCTCAACCTTGAAGTCCAAGGCAACAACTCCAAGGTCCAAACTTTCAATTTGTTTCCTTGTCTTTTTTTTTCTTTTTTCTTTTTTCTTTTTTTCTCCCCCTTAATATTTTCAAAAAAAAAAAAAAAACCTGGTACAACTCTTTATTACATAAAAAAAAAATTAAGGGTTACATTTTTTGGTAATATATATTTTTTTGGTAATAAAAATAAAGGGTACATTACATCAACAAATTAAATGCAATCTCTTATATTTTTAAAGTACCATAGAATCTAAAAAATAAGACAGGGAGAGGACTTGAACCATACAGTCTCCAAAGGAGAAGTGACAATCACAAGGCCTCTTTATTCTAACAATTAAACAAGGTTCATCCAATGTCACAAATTTTCTTTCTCCGATTAAAAATAACGAGGTTCATATGGAAGGAATGTGTCTCATTAGTCCTGGAGGACTTAATTTGCTTTCCTGCAGTTCAACCTGATTTGGCCTTTGGTCCCTGTAAGAGGGCTAATGTTTGCCATTTTGATCATCGCCTTTCCAAATTCCTCAGTGAAAGCTATTGGATTGACGCTGTAAGCCTTAATTTGAGAGTCGGTTATGCCACCATTGAAGAACTGTTGGTCAGAGTGCAGAAGCCCCTTTTTGACAATCAAGTCCACGTAGAAATGATTATCAAAGATTGTTGGAGTTGCAGTGTCTAAAGGAGCAAGATTGTTATCTCCTCCGTTGACCGGACAGTTTGCTCTCAATGCTCTCGCATAGAAGGGATCAATGTTTGTTTCATTGTAGATCCTGTTGCGGAAATTGGTGCACCTAGCTTGGCCGACAGTGTGGGCACCATAAAGAGTCACCAAGTCACTAACACTTAAGCCTTTTTTTGCGAAGGAAGTGGTGAAGTTGGTCAGATTCAAAGTCGGTGCAGGGATGTCTGAGTTGGCACCACTGAAGTTTGCTGTCTTTGAATCTCTTCTGCCCAAGAGAACCGTCCAGTAAGGTCCACCCAACTAAAACAAAACCAAGAAAAAAAAAGGGGTAAGATTAAATAATTAAAATTCAAATATTATCTGTACGAAATTTGTCATGTAGTTGAATATTTTTTATTATTTTTACTTACAGCAACCACAGAGTCACGAGCAGCAATGGTGATAATGTCGGCACATGAAACAACGCCGGGGCAAATTTTCTCAACTTCAGCTTTGATCCTGTCAATGACATCAAATCCCCTGAGAGATCCTTTATTTGGTTTTGCTGTTTTTTCCCCTTTCATTTTAGGTGTGTCGTCCAATAATACAGATCCATCGCATCCCTGGTACATATAAGAAGCACAAGCAATTGTTAGGATACATTTCCATCATGATCTCGAACTGGTAACAGATTTAACTTTGTAACATATTATTCAAAATCAAAATCAAGACTATATTATAGAAACTAAATGAGAAATTAGTTTTTTTTTTTAAAAAAAAAAAAACCCAGAAAATTAAGATGAAGGAAAAGATGGCCTACATCAACAAAGCAGTCATGGAATTGAAGACGAAGCAAGGATGCTCCCATCCGGGCCTCTTTTGCAACTGCAGCTCTAACCACCATTTCAATGGCAGGAAGTGCCCCGGGGCATGTTTTTGCATAGAAGTCCGGACATAACTGAGCAGAAGCAACACCAAAAAGAAACAAAATTAACAAGAACGTTGCAAGCTTAAAGGGTTGAAAGGAGGAAATTTTGGGAGACATTGCTGAAAGACAGAAGTCAGAGACAGAGAAATTAAGAAGGTTGTGGAAGAAGAAGTTTTGAGTCCAGTGCTGGATAAGTTCATAACATGTCCCATATATATATAGGAAGAGCTCAATCTTAATTGGACCGTATATAAGTTGCCTGTTTACATGTTTGTCATGGTCCAAGTCAATAAGCTAAATAGAAAATTCGAAAAGTATTACAGTATGTCTTGCCCCGGTTATATATGAAAGAAGTAGTTAGAATATGGCAGCATATAGCTGGATGTTAGGGACAATAGTTTAGTGTCTAGGTGATTTTTGAAGTAGTCAAAGATAGAAATGGATTTTTAGAAATTAACGTTTATTTTTAACCTTTCACCCACCATCAGTTTATTTTGACCGTGTACTAAGATATTTTTAGTTTTTTTAAATAAATATACGGGGTAGCAGTAAAATGATATTTTGGTTATATACCATATAATTAATGCTTATTACAAATAAATAACTTCAACACTGGAGTTCTTACAATTAAATTTCTCATGATTTCAGTAAATTTATCAAAATCTGAAATTTCTTTATGCATATTATTTTGTATTTTCATAATTTAGCACTTCTTATAAAAGGTCCTTTCCAGCATTAATATTTTGCTTTTCAAACACAGAAAAACAAAAAAGGGGGGAAAGTCATAGCACAGCTTGCTTTGTACATTTAAATATAGGCGCCGGCAGTTGTCACCTATGAACTATGATTTGATTTTATTAAGACTATACTTTAATTATAATCTTAAAAACTTATAACTTTTTCTTTAAATAGGTAATTATGATATTTAA